TTTGCAATAAATTATACATAAATGTACTCGCATTGAGACGCTAAACTCAATTTTGCTCGCGAAGTTTGCGAGATGACTTGCCGAACATAATGTGAGGAGTTTTATCAGTGTTTTTTGAGGTGAAAGACGTAGGCGGTCAGATCCACGTGGTACTATGGGTAATCAAGGGATAGGGAAGTGACTGCCAAGCATTTGTGTAGAATATCACTTTCATTCAACAAGGGCAATTATGATGACCACCACTTGAATGAAGGCTAGGACCAGAGGTGCGCGCTTCAGGCATTCCTGCATTAAACGACCATGATATTCGTGTTCAGGCGAAGACAATACAAATTTCCACTAAACTTTGTGAGTTTGGCAGATATCCACAAAGTGTCATCATAGATGGGCAACGGTCTCTTGGGTCTTCGAGCAGGCTCGTCATCGAGCACCTCTTGGGAACCGGAAAAAACTTTCAGAAGTGCGTCCTTTTGGAGAGCGATGTCTTCCTCGCGTGTTGGCATCTACATCATTTTCTGATTATTATAATCAAATTGCCAGTCAGGACTAGTCGTATAGATAGGAGTGGTCGGAAGGGAAGAGTCCACGTCTTTGGCTGTTATTGCCGGGGAGCAATAACGGCCAAACTGTGAACACGTAATTTTTTAAATGAAGTTAAGCTCTTAGATTATGATGAGAATTTTGTCTCCAAAGGGAGTGTGACACCTCGACACGAATGTCACACCTTTTCAGTGTAAAAAAGCTTATAAAATTTATTGCAACCTCATAAGCTTTTCTTTTTCTGCGAACGACGTCGGAAACGCGGCAGAAAAGCTGATTCTGTCCAAAGATTAAGTCTCATTGCTAGGAAATCCTTGAGTCCACCACCCAGCCTCACACCAACTCATAAACATAACCAATTTTTCGAAACCTGGACAAAATTCATTGACTGGAAGCATGCTTTCAGAAGTAGTTCGAGCCGTTGAACACGAAAATGGCAGTCATTAGGCAAGGAATGTTTCTGTGATGTGACTTTGACTTGCTCAGTCTTCAGTAGGGTAGTACTGATCAGCTGTAAAATATATCTGATGGTGTAGTTGTCACGTCGAATGGCTTCCTCGACCTGAGAGCTTCCCTTATGAGTCGCTCATATCAGTACCTTACTTTAGTAAACGTCCTACATTTTCGTTCATTTTCTTTGTTCGCCTATTCATTCCTCGTTGTGCTATGATTATTTTGTATACTTAAATCTTATTCTGTGGCTTGTGTTCATTCATTCGTTACGAAAATTCAACATGGTGCGAGAAAAAGGCGAAAACAGAGCAAATGGAGGTACAGGAAAAGGAAAAGCACCCGCACATTATTAAAATTAGGCGTGAGCTGAGGGGTACGGTACGTAGTGGTGTAAAAGTGGTGTAAAGTTGCGTCGCAGCATTTCATTCCTACGGCTGCGTAGCTCTCTTCCCCACTAAGTAAACAGAATAAGCGGAATGCGGTCATGACCCGACACGCGCATTATTCGTGCGCCGTCATTGAGGCGCCTGACTTACGAAATACCTGACCACCGGACCGACGCGTTAGATACGCAGACATAAACGGTGTGGCAAGATCGTGGGCGCCATTCTTTCGCAAAGCTGCGGCTGCGTGCCATTGCGTACTTTGCGGAGCTACAGTAACCTCACGCCTAGTTTTATTCGAATGGGAGAAGACTCCTCGCAAGTTAAAGCGCGAAGGGCTAGGATAGCTGATCAGGTGTTATTCCTGTTGGCTATATGTATGAAAGATGCGGTTGGTGTGATAGAGCTTACTGCTTTATTGCGCCATAGTCCATGACTTTCGCAGCTGCTTATATTCTGTGGAGCGGACTGGATAAGATGAGCTTTTTCCATATGAACCAACAAGCGACATATCCTCGGCAAAAATTTGAGTTGCGAAAGTCAGGGGCGCAAACAATGGGAAGCTCTGAAAGTGTGCCAGGAGGACGGGTCACCATCAACACGGAAACGGTATATCCCTTCTTGGGAAACGTTCATAAACATGTCCTTGTTAAAGATCACTGTGGTTCTTTTTACCGTTGCTCAACTCACTTTCTATTTTCTAGCCCAAGCGATTCGAGACTAATGTTGTAACGATAGTGCCTGACTATTATGTAACTTTTTCTTCAAGAGGGAACTCGGTAGAGGGACAACTGTCATGTTTGGAAGAATTAGTCTACAAGTTGTACTTGCTTCTTTTGATTTTTTTTACTTCGTAAGGCGGACCCATGCGTATGTAATAGGTATCTTCGGTTAATGAGTACCGCTTCCTTTCCTTGAAAACGCCCCATTGAGGCTACGGAAGCAGTTCTCAGGACTAAACAAAATTATTCATAGATGTCACTCTTTGATCATAATCACCAAAATTCATGATGCTACGTCCCCAAGGAGTAATGGAACTAGGCGCGAGGTTACTGTATTCCGCCAGTTTGTACGCCATGGCACGCAAGCGCACTGTTTGAAAGATGTTCGATCTTGCGACTCGACGTCCCGAAACGAGTTCGATCGGCTTTTGGCGGATGAGGAAAGGAGAATCGGTATTTCGAACGAAGGATAGATTGGGTATCGACCGGCACCGGTCACTAGCGTTTTGGGAGAGTCAGAGTGAGCGTTCCGCGGGTGGTTTTAAACTTTTGTGGCAGCTGCTGAAAACTCTGGCGTACGCTGGACCGATATCTTTACCTTCCTAAGATCGCTCAAACGTTGTCGTACCCTCAAAATCCTTGCGCAAAGTATGACTGCAGCCCTAGTTGTAAAGAGCGCGTTCATACTTTGCGCCAGCACACAGCAGCCTTTCGAGCGTACGCCAGCGCCATCGGCTAGGAAAATAAGTATCGATCTAGCGTACGCCATCGTATTTTGGAGCGTTTTCGCGGGCATTTTTGTTCAAGGTCGAAAGTGGCCGCGAAAACGCTGGTGTACGCTGGTAGACGCTGCTTTCGCAGATCCTAGTCGCTGGATTTGAGGAAACCGCTCGAAACGCGGCAGTAGGCTGACATACGCTGACGTAAAGTATAAACACTCTCTAGCGCTGATATCTCAATCATCTTATCAGTCAGAGGACATAAATTCATCTGAATTAAGCTTTTCGGACGGTGATTAGGTATTTGTTCACTGGACCCCACAGTGTGAAGTAGCTGACTGATTTCTTCTGAACGTTTGTTTTTTTACCGTGTTCGCCGTAAAGATAACGAGCTTTCACCACTTCGTCGTGGTGCCTCTGCACGGGAGCTTACATCCCGGTTTTTACGATCAGGAATCTTCTATGAGACTTGAAATTATTAATAAACTATTCTCCTCGACCCTTAGGTTATTTGATTATGAAGTTTCAGAAATATATTCCTTTTGAAGCTTCTCTTGATCTTTGCACGCTGAATAAAAACTTTGGTATTCTAAAACTCCACTACAGTTATCGCGTATGTTGTTATGCAAATGTTTCACTTTTTCATTAGAAGGAGTTAGGCTCAGTTTGCTAGGGAAACGGTGCCGGAGCCGGGTTTACGACGTGGGTATGCGGTATACTTCCCTTGTAATTACAATGTTTCTGTTGTTACTGTTGTTTCTAGCCATCAAAGGAGATCGTTTCAGGGTTCAGGGCAGCCATGACGTTACCTTCTGCTATTGTGCGAAACACTCGTCAGCTGATTCATCTACATGCGCTACGATGTGTATCAAACTCACCCGCTGCCAATGAGTGAGTTGAGTCAATCGTCACGATTATCTCTTTGAGTTACGATGGTTAGTTTGCCATAAGAATTGCCTCTTTGACGGTGTGAGGGGAGGGACAAGAGGAGCACCAGACAAAGCCAGTCATGTTCGCCCGCCTACCCCACATGATTTTGTGGTGGTTTCTGCATTTTTATTCAACGGTGTTAGCCACGATGAAGCGTGGGGGTCGCGTTGGCGCGGTAAAAGGTCCTGCTCGTTCTGGTTATCCCACCGAGACAGTGGTTCCTCCCCAAAAGGGTATAGTGTATATCGTTCACCTTATGAACGAAGACGGTTTGCAGCTACGCGAGTAACATTGGCGCCAGGACCAATCAATTCAGGGGCCGTGTCGCTGGCGTATAGGATGGTCTTGAGTGGCCCTTCGGAGAGTGGCTTTTCCATGAGCCCGTACAGAGCTGGGATGGAGAGGAACGGGCCATCTGATCCTTGGTGCACGCCAGTCGTGATTTCGGGAGCGGGCCAAGTCCGCGCCCGCTCATCGACGGGATTTAAAGACACATGGTACGCTCAAACAATTGAGGGTGTATGAGACTATCAGCCCCCCAGCTGTCGATGTGTCGTGGTCCCCCGCCCAAAACTGCACGGGGTCAGAGTACGGGCCGTGGGAAAGTCGTAATTCCTTGCTACACCGCCCTCACGTTTATGCTAACACCATCCGCGCGGCGCGGTCGCGTGCAGCTCTCTTGGCTTTTTGCCAAGTCCTGTAATTGCGCTTTGGAATACAAGTACAACGCAATTTCTTTATGCGGATAACATTTTAGGTGCTGCAAAATAAGAACCGAAGATGATGACGAGGGCTAGAACTCAAGAGCAACTGTGGTGCTTCTGCAATATCCCTCAGAGGCCGCGCATTCCCACAGAACATGACAATAAAAACGGACAACATGAATAAAACATGACAATACAAGCAAAACGCAATTTCCTAACATTTGAGGTATTGCTCATGCTTCAAAGTCCGAATAGAAGGTGATGAAGATGACAAAGGCTAGAAATGAACAACAGCTAACGAGTGGGACGCTTAGGCCGTTTTTATTTTGATGTTTTGTGGGAATGCGCGGCCTGCGAGGGCTGTTGCAGAAGCAGCACAGTTGCTCTTGAGTTCTAGCCCTCGTCATCATCTTCAGTTCTTATTTTGCAGAACCTAAAGTTATCCGCATAAAGAAATTGCGTTGTACTTGTATTCCAAAGCGCAATTACAGGACTTGGCAAAAAGCCAAGAGAGCTGCACGCGACCGCGCCGCGCGGACGGTGTTAGTAAAAACGTGAGTTTGCAAAACGGGCGGCGTAGCAATTACGACTTTCCCACGGTCCCGTACTCTGACCCCGTGCAGTTTTGGGCGGGGGGACCACGACACATCGACAGCTGGGGGGCTGATAGTCTCATACACCCTCAATGTGTTTGAGCGTACCATGTGTCTTTAAGCTGCGTTTATTTGCGGCAGCGTAGCGTAGCGCTTCCAGCGTACGCCAGCGGCAGTGTCGGGGAAAGGATAGATATCGATCTAGCGTTCCCAGCGTCACCAGCGTACGCTAGCGTTACGCCAGCGCACGCTGCGTAGCGAGGGCACGGGAAGCATAGCTATCGATCTAGCGCTCCCAGCGTTTCACTAGCGCTTGCAGCGACGGGGCTAGAGAGGGGCTAGAGAGTATAGAGAGCAGGAGAGTATTTTGTACTCTCCTACTCTTCTATACTCTCTAGCGTAGGAGAGCATTTTGTACTCTCCTACTCTTCTATACTCTCTAGCGTAGGAGAGCATTTTGTACTCTCCTACTCTTCTATACTCTCTAGCGTAGGAGAGTATTCTGTACTCTCCTACTCTTCTATACTCTCTAGCCCCGCCGCTGCAAACGCTAGCGAAACGCTAGTGAAACGCTGGAAGCGCTACGCTGCCGCAAAGTATAAACGCAGCCTTAGATGGTATTCAGAATAGATAATGTATGATCAAATATAAACCTGAGTGTCCACCATGTTCTTGTCTACATGGAATCGCTGAATTCGAAATGGATTGCTGATGCTGAAATCGAAACGGATTTGCAAGTTGAGGAACGTTGCCGCGCGCGACAAAGCGGCAGTTTTCGATTCTCTTGCAAGCCACCCCAGAAACCTTGTGTGGCACATGCGTGGCATAGTCCCGTGCAAAGGAAAAGAAAAGTTGTGTCACTGGTACGTCACGTCCATGACAACAAAACCTGTATTATATCGTTGTCAATAACGTCTCAAGACGCATCGTTACAGTATTGTGTGACGTCAGTGACACGTCATCTATCCTTGACAGGTGATACTGTGAACCGCATAGCTATGCTACATCAGCACATCAGTTAATGTGCCTAAAATTTTCTCAATGTTTTTCCTTCCGCAGGCCTCCACAAAAATTCGATATTGCCGTGGTGGGCGGTGGCATCGTTGGTAGCGCAACAGCTCGTCAGCTGAAAATGGAATATCCACAATTGAAAATCTGCTTGCTCGAAAAGGAGAACAAATTATGTGAGTGAAGGATTTCTGCGCTTTATTTGTGCAGGACACCAGCGTCTTGAGCGAGCAGGAAAGTATAGATATCGTTTTCAGCGACTGCCCGCCAAGAGCTCAAAACTACCCATGCAAACGCAAAACGCTGCTACGCTCAAAATGCGGACGCGAACTATGAACGCGGTCTAACAGCTGTTCTGAACTGCACCTAGGCCTCTAGTATTTTCACTATAAGCGAACGAATGCTTTCAAAGCCACAGTCCGCGGTGGTCATATGGGCGAGCTAGCTCATCACTGTGAGCTCCCTTCTTCTAATGGTATGCAGCCGAAGAGGAGGTTGTGATGTGATTTTTAATGAAGGAGTCCTAGTGATAGACCTGACCACACCCACACTATAAGCGCAAACTAAATCTTCAAAGATGGAAATTTTGGAGCTGGGCGCCACGTGCCTTGGAGGGACTGCTCCATTATATTTGTGCCACGTCATGTGTGGTCGTCTGCTCCCTCTCACCGAGACAGTGTCACTTCTTTTGACTCAGCCATACGCCAGACTCGTCTATTCACCTAATTCGCAACACTTGCGAGCCACCATCAAACTCTCGGATAAGCCGGTCAAAAAGAAAAAGCGGGCGGAGTGCTCCTTGAATCCCTGGCCTTGGCAGGGCAGGGTGAAAAGACGAGCAAGAAAGGCAAAGGCATGAGATTTCCACCAATTTTTTTTTGTTCTGACCAAAAACTCCGGCCGTTGATGCGCCTCCAGTGAGCCCTCGCTGGAGAGTGACCTTCCGAGGCACATAGCGTCTCCAGCTATTTGAACCGATTACTCACATACTGCAGTAGCTCATAGTCCCGTTAACCAAGACGATGCCGATGGAATTCTCGTCCCAAAACGAATAATATCGCGGTAGTCACGAAATGGACATTCGTGTGACTTCTGTGCAATGGAACAATAAATCTGGCGACTGCTCTCACAGAGAAACTAGCCATACAGTTGATACCGTCGCAAGGGGGGGGGTATATCAAGGGAGATGGATGAGCAACCGCGGTATCATGTATCACCACTGATTGTTTTCTTCCTGAAGCGATCAATAGCCGACCAATTGTTTTCTTCCTGAAGCGATCAATAGCCGACCACACTAGCAGAAAAAGGAGCTAGGGCGGGCTCATTTCAACCCTCCTGAAACCGCCCCGATCTCAACCATAGTAAGGCTGGCTACGCTTTTTCTACGCATTTGCGCCACCCCCTCCATATTGATCTTCCAGTGATTTCAACTCCAAGTAGCCCTAGAGGGTGGGTCTAGTTTCGCCTACTGCCCCTCCAACTCCCACCTGATTTAGATTTCACCTCAAACGTTCTGAAGAGGCTGTACTACCCGCTAGAGATTGCTTGAAAAATAGTACCTACCTTTGAGAAAACCCCTTTACGCATAGGCGCCATGGAGAAGAACAAGCTGCAATTTTCTTTCAAAAAAACGTAGTAAAACGACCGGCCCCTCCACATTGCCCGTTGAAGAACTGATGAAGTCTTGAATACCGTTCCTCTCCTTGTCACACATTTCGATTTCGTCAAGGCTCGTCACTGAAATGTCGACATTTGGACAATTATCATTCTGACTCAAAAAAAGGACCAAGTTTCGTCTCACCGTACGACACACACAGACTGAGCCAGGCATAGACGGCAAACTTCCGCATGGACAATCGATCTATAGGGATGAAAGTAATCAAATGAACATCACTTGTAGGTACTTTCGAAATGATAAGAGGATGCTAATCAACACATGTGCTAGAGACCATTCGTTGATTGGACCCACCACTACAGGTATGCTTGCTCATAGGTACAGGCACTTCACTCGAGTAGCTACATGACGGGACAATCGGCTGCAAGGCGCCGAAAATGGAGGGTGAGACCTGGGGATCGGCGTCGCGGCGCGTCATCGCGAGTCTGGTAAGCTGCATTTAATCGGGAACGCCTCTGATAAGCTTAGTGTGGGTAAATGTGCGTTTTAAAGGCAGTACCGGATGTCGAGATGTTAAGCAACTCAGAACTGAAGGGAGCAGAGAGGACTATTGGAAATGCTCTCTATAAGACCCCTGCTGGTTCCAAACATTACAAGAACTAGGACGAAGGAGGATGCACCGTGTGGGAAAATGAGACATACGGATAGGTATGAAGAAAGATTTCAGAAGTGATAGAGAACTCTACCGCTCCTAATCGGGTGCGTTAAAACATAATGTGTAAGGCGGAGGATGATTACGGGGGCGGGGACTGCCTACCCTGACAAAGCCCTTGGAGTTCTTAACAAGCAGGTTCGTGACGCGGAGACAGGACATCTTTTGGGCTTGCGGATCGCGCCCACTTCTGTAAGGAAAGGCTTTTCCAAATCTCAGGATATCTGTCAACCGCGGAGCCTCTCTCCACCTTCTTTTTTCCTTCCTCCTCCTCCCTTTTTCCTTCCTTCTTTCTCATTCTGCTCCTTTCGAATAGAGGTCAGAATATACAATGAATACCACGTCCGATCAAGTAGGTGCTGGTGCGAATGTCGCGCACGGAACACCATTTTCCACGCCGCTTTCAGCACGTCACCGGAACGCAGATGTTATGCCCTGCACCCTCTGAAGTAGAAACACAACCGTGACCTGAACCTATTCGCACATACAACAAGGATCTCCAGGTACTATGCCGTTACCCAGAACCCAAAGAAACTGTTGGCCACATTTATTTACACTATTATCTCCAATATACATCCAAAACATTATTACTCGTACAAGAATGGCAAAAATTTTCGCGATACCTTCAAGAAGTCATGACATTTCGACGAACTAAACGAAAACTACTGCACACATACACCTGTTTTGCACGAGTACAGGCCTGTTCACAATCGAACTCAAAGGACACACTCCGAGCAATGGAGAGCCTGAAGAATGGGCAAACTGTTTCAACTACAGCTTCTTCGGCATTCCGCGCCTCTCCTTTATCGCCATATCAAGAGGAGCATTGCCAGCAAGAGGTTCAGTAGCCACTTCTCCCCTTCTAATTATCGCGGAATGTGCCCTTAACACCCAATGAACATAATAGGATAATTTGCCATTTGAACTTCCAAAGAAACTTCACACTAGAATTTACCAGTCGTTTGGCTTATACCATGCCGAACCCGATTGTGATTAGGCTTACCTTACGCGCTGCAAAACCTAAATGGCCAATAACCAGAACAATGAAATATCACAAATACTACCATTTCTCTTATTACAGAATATTGACTAGTAAAATCTTGAGCCATTCTTAAACTACAGAGAAAATCTTGTCTTGGCCTCCTGAGATATCATTTTCGCTATCGCTAGACTTGATGTCGCTCCCGGTGATGGTGCATTACGTACATGAAGCACCATTTTCGACAACTGAAACAAACACGGATACGGTAGAATCACTTTTCTGCACTGGAGTTCTATAGCTGTTTAAGGAGTAGAGCTTTGAACACCGTCAGCCTCTCTTCGGATAAACCACGCATTTTACTTCCACTCAAAATCCCAGTGTCCATTAAATGTGATATAGCCCAATAACAAGTTGCAGAGCCAACCATGTATTGGTCAGTGTTCTAATCTCTCACACAAATTTTTCCAACGAACTTGGAAGGTGAAGGCTCAGTCGGCCTGAGTAGGAGCCAACCCTGGGAGGGTGCACGATAAACGAGCCAACTAGCAGTATAGGTTCCCGCTCAAGGGTCCTACAAATTTAGGGAAAGTAACGGAATTCGTTTCAACGATACTCCCTCGAACCTTCAATGCTGGACGCAGGTGTAGCCCAGGTCTCCGCTGGCCCGCCTCAGTGCATCCTACGTGAAGTTGGCCAGCGCATTTTACTTAGCTTACTTACTATTAGTGATATTTCTTTGCCCCTCTCATTGATACATAGTCATATACGCGGGAAACGGCGATAGCTTAGCTTAATCAAAGTGTAAAAAAGGAGAGGAAACTCACGATGGGTCCATGTACGCTGTCAAAAACGAAGTCGTCAACAAGGTTACCTTCCGGATCCATGGCTTGAGCGCGCACACCGGTAAAACCTCTGAAAATCAACGAACTCTCGCTTGTCCATTTACAGAAGTAAATTCGGTAATAATTTCCGAGCTTCACAATCGGGTCTGCATTTCAGTTTATGTTCATGAGTTCATTGAAATTGAAAGGTTCCTTAGGGTTGAACTCATGCACTACCGTAGTTCGGGAAGTCATGCCGCCAGACTAGGCCTTGTGGACTCCTCTGGTCTGCCTTCTACTATGTCTTGAGTTTGAAATATACCATTTTCACTTTAATCGGACACTTTTCAAATTCAAATCGGACACTTTTCAAACCAAATCGGACACTTTTCAAACCAAATCGGACACTTTTCAAACCAAATCGGACACTTTTCAAACCAAATCGGACACTTTTCAAACCAAATCGGACACTTTTCAAACCAAATCGGACACTTTTCAAATCAAATCGGACACACCCCTTACAATTAGGTGGTTGATAACTAGACCACACTAGGTACTGTTGCAAGCCCCGCCCCATTATCCCCGCCCACTTCTCAGCGCGGACAGGGTTTTCCGAGATGCTTCATGAAATCTGCTCCTTCGACTTTTTTTCGTTTTTGCCCTTTGCACACACACTTCAACTGAAAAAGATTGATACCTATACAGATCTGACTCCGCCCACTTAACAATGAAGTTACGTAAGTTCTGAATTTTTATAACTTTTTTCGACGTAGTTCTTTTCACATCCAATCTTCACAAAACGAATAACCATGCACAGCACACCAGGCCCCGCCCTCTGACCCCGCCCACTTGTGTTTATCGCGGAATTTTGGTTTTTCTTCCGGATTTTCGCTTTTTAGGCTTTAGCGATTGGCTCCGCCCACCAATGGAAGCTCCGCCCACTTTGGGGAAGCCCCGCCCACTTTTCAAAAATGATGCAAATCGGCGGGCTAGTGTCCGTACTGGCGGATTACGGCCTCTCCCGGCACATAGAATAAAAAAAAAGGAAAAACCGGAAAAAAGGGAAACTTTGTTCTGAGCGACGGGAGAGGCCGTAATCCGCCAGTACGGACACTAGCCCGCCGATTTGCATCATTTTCGAAAAGTGAGGCGGGCTTCCCAAAGTGGGCGGAGCTTCCATTGGTGGGCGGAGCCAATCGCTAAAGCCTAAAAATCCGGAAGAAAAACCAAAATTCCGCGATAAACACAAGTGGGCGGGCGGGGCCTGGTGTGCTGTGCATGGTTATTCGTTTTGTGAAGATTGGATGTGAAAGAACTACGTCGAAAAAAGTTATAAAAATTCAGAACTTACGTAACTTCATTGTTAAGTGGGCGGAGTCAGATCTGTATAGGTATCAATCTTTTTCAGTTGAAGTGTGTGTGTGTGTGTGTGCAAAGGGCAAAAACGAAAAAAAAAGTCGAGGGAGCAGATTTCATGAAGCATCTCGGAAAACCCTGTCTGCTGAGAACCCCAGCACCGGCAGTTCCCGGCTCCGCGCTGAGAAATGGGCGGGATAATGGGGCGGGGCTTGCAACAGTACCTAGTGTGGTCTAGTTATCAACCACCTAATTGTAAGGGGTGTGTCCGATTTGATTTGAAAAGTGTCCGATTTGATTTGAAAAGTGTCCGATTTGGTTTGAAAAGTGTCCGATTTGGTTTGAAAAGTGTCCGATTTGGTTTGAAAAGTGTCCGATTTAAAGTGAAAATGGTATATAGAGGATCACTATCACGGTTGAAAGGCTCAGAGAAAAAGACATCACCGCGTGTTTCACCCTTAAAATAAATACCAACTGCTTTCCTCTCTCTTCTTCTCTCCCTTTTCCTTCTGTTCCTCCCAATGAGGCTCAGCTAATTGAGCGACGGAGGACTACTGCGTCCGCGCGCTTGCAAAGAAAAATTCTGGTGAAAGATGTCCCCCTTCCCCGACCTAAGGAATGTCCAATTCTCGAATTAAACGAAAAAGGGTCACCCTGAAAAGGTCACCACAGTCTTGAAAACTAAAGTAAGCTTCTGTACAAACCTTGTCACATCGCTTAACTTCAATTCAGGGATGAATCGTTGTAGTTGTTTCACTTGAGCGGATATAAAAATACCACGATATAATTCGGTTAATCCATATTTCAAGTACTTGAAAGTCAATTTTCGCATGCCACTGAACAATAATCGTAAATTATTCGTTACTTACGTTTAAAGCTGGTCTGAAACGAAGTGGTGCAGACAAACCACAAACCTGTAAGTCAAGGACTCGAAGAGATCATACGGTGAGATTTGGAAATAACCGTATCCTTCTCGTTTGTACGCCAGCACAGCATTCGGACCCAAAATAATGTTACCATCCATGCGTGGGGTGAAATGGACGCCGAGGAATGGCAGTCCTGGATTGGGCACCTACAAAGAATAATTTTTAGAAATAAACAAAATATGTACGCCGCATTTTTAAGCCACAGTCTGTAGCACAGGTCGCGGAGTAATCCGTACTCGTTGTCCATCGCCAGTGACGTCATAAACGTGTTCTGTGACGCCGGTGACACGTCATCAATATCCTAAGAATGTGTTCATACTTTGCGTCAGCGTTCTGAGCAACTAGGACAGTGGATCCCGATCGCGGCACTTATATTCCCCCTAGTCGCTCAAAACGTCTGACGCGAACACAAAGTATGAAAACGCAGTGCCAAAAAGATAAGGTACTGGTACATGTTGCTACATTGCGCGAACTATTTGAAAGTCCTGCAGGCGAACTCACAACGAAAACTCACAGGGTATATGTTGCCTCTGCAGAGGTATCGTTTTTCTGGTTTCAAGTAGAGATATTCTCCACGGAATGGAATAATCTTTGGCAGTGGTGAACATCCGGTGAGCTGTGCGACACGATCAGACTGCAGCCCCGTGCAGGTGATCAGATTTTTGGTGTGAATATGGCACTGAAATGTCTACGGCTGTACATCTCTTTACGGATACTCTTTTGCCAACAAGAGGAAAACTGGGCTACTATGGCCTCGAAATGCTTAAGGAGCGCGCATTTTGGCGCAGTAGTGTGCGCGGTTTACAGTAACCCCACTTAGCACAACTCTTCCAAGCTGTAAAATGTCAACAGCTTCGTTTCTTCTTCGCGGA